AAAAAAAAAAAAAAAAAAATCTTACCGACAGAACAGAATTCTGTGCTGTACTTCTATCAATTATTTTGACTGTCATTTGTGTCGTGTGTCGATAACGTAAGCAGTGTGTCTATTATTTTGAATGAGAATCATAGATGCGTCGTTCTATCGAAATAGTGAAACGACATTTATCCACCTGGTTGTGGCGATGAATCAACTATACTGCTCAGAAAAATTAGCGGACATTTCAAAACGAACATGAGCTTGATTTTTTTTCTTTTTTCCAATCGAACAACTTTCTTCCGACTTGTCGTTTGTTTTTCTGATGTTCTTGCTTAGAGAAATCAAACGAAAGAGCTTCTTTCATCGCTTCATATTCATATTCATCGGGATCCCCTAATTTTTTCGCGAGCAGCACAATTGTGTTGTCGAATGTAGAATAAAGTCTATTTCCATGATTATTAGATTGTGTAATACATTCTCCTCTTGGTGTCACGTTTCTGAGAAATTATTAAAATTATTATACACTGTATAGTGAAAATATAATATCACAGAAAGTGCGACGTACAATATAAAAACTATTGAAAAATTATCGATTCTTTTGAAATACTTTTAGCTTTTAGTTAGAAAAAAAAAAAAATTGTGACAACAAATTTTTAGCGATCGTCGTAAAGAGGAGACTGGTGGTGAATTTACTTGAAAAAAAAAAAATTTTTTTTCTAGCATCGATTAACGTTTAAACTTGGTGAATTTTTGAGAGAAAAAGTAACTTTCAAAATGACGTGAGAACATCTTCGAGGGAGAGGAACGCAGGATCTTGAAAGTGAATATTTTGCAATTTTTCTAACAACATTCCTCTATTAAATACAGATTAAGTTCACGGGACCACAAGTACGTCAGTCTTTTCTAAGACTATAACTCTTGTATTGATTTTCGTATTCGTTATTGGAACAATTGCCAGTGTGCACGTTGCTTTTCCACATACTGAATTATTTAAAAACCTATTGTTGCTAATGTGTCATTTCTTTTTTTTTACAAGCAAACCGAGTAATATCGGCGTGCTGAAAACATAACAAAAAAAAAAGAGCAATCAGACAAACATAATAAATTCTGGCAAAATGTTTCATTTATTAAGAAGTTATAACAGATGACTGGCGTTTTTGAATACGAAATTTCCATACTGTATTAATCTTCCATCCCGGTTAAATGCATATTTACATATAAAGTACAAGTACGACTGTACACAAAGTAGACTGTGTAGGAATATATTTCCACTAATAATTCAGATATTCAATTTATACCAGATTTTCGATTCACACAATGGGCAGTTCAACCGGCAAGGTTCGTTCAGTCGAATATTGATTAAAATTTGATCGAAACAGAGCAGAATTCTATCTTCTTCCCGAACGAATTTTACAGATTTGCGCAGCACCTGCGAATTTAGATAATTATCGACCGAGTAAGCGGATTGTGCTTTTCTTTATAGAAATTCAAGATCGTATCAATACCT